TGCCATCATTTGGCAATAGGTCTGTTCCACAACACATTCAGTTTTTAGGGTAGTTGCAGGGTTTACAGAAAAACAATCTAAAGCATGTTTCAAGCCTGTGTGGGTGATCCATGGTTTCTGGACTCCTCTGACCCCAAAGACTCCTGGGAGATCCTTACACAAGATTCAGACAGGCCTTTCTCTGAGAGCTGAAGATATTTATTCTTTATATGAAATAGAACTATATACTAAAAAATGAGAAGAGTAAAAAATATTGATCTTTGCTTTAAAGACTTAAAATGCTAAAAACAAATATTTCTTTTGGAATGTTTAAGAGCTTGAATATATGTGTGTGTATACATATACGTGTATGTGTGTGTGTGTGGATAGACATACATATATTTTATCTGAGGTTATAAAATCTTTAGACCTATAAAGAATAAAGTGTTTGAGCCTTTGGGTCCTTCAGGGGATGTGTCAGGGACCGGCTGGCATTTCTCCTCTGGTTGGCGTCTGGCTCTAGCAGACTTTGTCTCCTGCCCTGCCGTCTTCACCTGGGCCAAGCAGCAGCTTTCTCACTGGTGAGGCTTGCCCTTTGGTATTCTGATGTGTGTGCAGACCCTGGAGTCGCATTTCACCATGCAAAGACAGTCCTGTTAGTTCCCTGCACAGAAGCCCTCGATGGTTCCCTGCAGGATAAATTCTAGCTCCTAGGCTGCAAATCTCCTTCTGGGGCCCATGTTATGAACCTGCCTCTGACTGTTGGTTACCTCTCTTTTTATTTATTCTTGGAATAAAGTTATGCTGTTTCACAACCCTAAGCCTTTCTAAGCTTCTTCTCTTTGCTTTAGTTGCACTTTTTCACTTAGCATAGCTATTGTCGTCTTCAGAAAGTCTCCCCAACTTCCTGATCCCCATTTGTTTTTGACTTGGCTGGGCTCCCTCTTACTATCTGTCCACATTCCTTTCCTGTCCCTGATGCCTCCTACTTGGACTACTAAGTGTGATTTCTTTAGCAGTTTGAATGCTTGGCTAGTACTAAGACTGGATCCCTTTACTTTGTATATTCAGTGGTCAGCACAGGACCAGGATGGAGTTATCTTGTGTCAAATTCAAGTGAAATGAGCATCAGCCTTCAAATTATCTGGAAAATTTGTTTTTCACAAAAGATCATAGAAGCTTAGATTTAGGTAAATGTACATACACCGAGTCTCTTTGTGATTCTCAAATTTTGCAGGAGATTCTTCTGGGAAACTTCTCTTTTTAAGTCTCATAAGCTTAATAGCGATGCTATTAAAGAGCATTTAAGAAAATGAGGTAGTAGCAAAGACATCAATTTATTATGTAATTCTTTTCACAAATTTGTTATTTTAAGGATATTTAGCATGTTGTTTCATCGTACTTTTATTGAGTCTAATGTTAACATAACTAATAAGTAGCCATATAATAACCAAATATCATTCAGCAAAATTTGATATTCATTCATGTAGGAAAAGAGCACCCCTTTTGGGATGATTGGTTTCTTTATAAAAAAGATGTAAGCTATAAAGAGGGAGAATAATACTTTAAGAGTATGTTGCCAAATGGATAAAAGTGAGCTGCAATTTACTTTTAGTCTATAAACAATCACTCTTGGGGAATGAACAGGTAGTGCTTTTACCTGGCACCTCATAAAACTCTAAATTCCATATTTGTCCTTTTTTTAATGGCTTTGTACAGCTACATGATTTTAGTGTGGTTTAACTTTGGATTATTCATCTGTAGCAAATGAAAGATACCCAGAGCCTGATTCCGGGCTGAAAGCCACCTCATTGTCCCCTCTCTCTGGAGGACCAGGTCTGGGCAAAGAGCTTCCCTTCTCTTCAGCCTCATAGAATGTAAGATCCATAAGGATCTGTTGTTTCGTTGAAATTGTATTGAACATAATAACTTTGCAACTAATAAACTTGTCATGTAGAGACCGAATAATATGCAGGAAAATTTGATCTTCATAAATCGTTGAGTTTACATTTCAATAGAATGTAAGAACCATGAGGTCAGGGATTTTGTATGTGTATCATTGTATCATGTATCAGTGTGTGATTCATGCAGTGCTTGGCACAGGATAGTAGTTGATCAGAAAACATTTATAAATGACCCCTCTTGGGGCTTTGAATTTCTCCCTATCAAAACATGGATCTGTGTAGCCTGAATTTCTAGATATTTCAAATAAAAGGCTTATCTCCCTGCTTTAAACACCTTATGGCTTTTAAAGAATTATTGGGCATTGGGAAGTCAGATGGGAAATATAGTTTTGTAAGGTGGATCTCTTTTGGGTTCCCTGAAATCACTGTTAGGATTAGCTATGACTTCCATTTCCATAAGAAAGTACTGGGATAACGCTCTCTAACAGTTAGTTTCAGAGAGAGATTGAGAGCTAGAGAGAGAGCATGTGCTTGAGTGTATGGGGTGAAGATTTTTTTAAATCCTCTTTCCCATTTCATATGTGCATCATTTGATGCCACTTTTTTCTTTCTGTGCAACATGGAGCTGGACCTCCTCTAAGAGAGTTTTTTTGCTGCCTTTTAAAAGTAGAGGGTTGCAGAACTCACTGGCTGAAGCCCCAGGTCGGGTCATTGCTGTCTGTGATGAAGGGTGTACTTGCTCCTTTTGCTGATGTGGGCTGGGATGCCTTGTGAGGCAGGAAAATCCTCTCCCTCTTTGTTTTTTCTTTCTGGGTTGGGTTGTAATGTGTGGAGGGTAGACTTATGGTCTCCTTCCTGATTTTTCTTAAGACCAAGTTTGGACAGCTATGGCAAAGGAGGAAGTGAGAAAATTGTTCAGAAACTGTGACATTTATTTGAAGTAAAACATTTCACACATTTTTAAGTCCCCATCATGTGATGTTTATTGAAGAGGAAGATGGAGTGAGCCTGCACCGTAGCTATGAATGTGTAAACCTTTTTGATCCATGTATTTAGATATTTTTGGGGGTTGTCTTGGAAAATAAGATGAAATGTAGTTCTCAAAGTAGGAGCTGCAGTTCAGAAATCTAGGCTTCCAGGATTCATTTATAGTTCACACTTCCAGATACTGTCTCTATGTCACCCCAGGACGCAGGCCAGGGGATTCCAGCTTGGGCCTTGGTCCTGGGCTTGCTAGCTGGATGAATATGACAGGTCACACTTTGTCCCTCTTAGCCAATCTTTCTCTTTTGTCCATGGGGATGATAACACTGACCCCTATGGCTTGTCATGTGACCTAAAGCAGGTAAAACATGAGCAAGAACATTGAAATCCTGTGAGGTGATCTGATGCTAATGGCCATACACCTTGCCTTTGTCTACTTGAAAAATCAAAATCAATTTTTCTTATAGATACTGTTTTTATTTCTTGTTCCAGCCACTAGAAAGCTAAGAACCAGAAAGGGTCTTGTTAATAAGGAGTTCATGTCCTTCATTTTCTTTCTTTCTTTTTCTTTTTTGTGGTGGTGGGGGTACCGGGCGTTGGATCAAGGGCATTTGACTACTGAGCCACATCTGTAGCCCTATTTTGTATTTTATTCAGAGACAGGGTCTCACTGAGTTGCTTAGCACCTCACTTTTGCTGAGGCTGGTTTTGAACCTGCCATCTTCCTGTGTCCACCTCCTGAGCCACTGGGATTACAGGTGCATGTGGCATGCCTGGCATGTTCTTCATTTTCTATGATAGATTTCTCCATCTATTCTCAGTTTGCCTTGTTGTTTCCCTCTGTTTTTTTCCTATATAACTTACACTCTGGCTCTGTTTTATGTATATGGATATAATCAGCCTTAAATCCTATTTAGAATAAGTCATAAACTAAGAACCAACCAAACAAATAAATATCTCTTCATCAGTTTGCTTTCTCATCCATTGAATTTGGGGATGAACAGCTGTTCCTCAAGGTCAAGGCTCTTTTTTTTTTCCTTCTCAGAGGCAACTCAAGTGTGAATAATAATCTGTTTCAAAGATCCTACTTCTAGGGTGGTGGTGGTGAAGTTTGTCAGCTCTTTGACCAAAAATAACCTAAAATTCTTAGCTACGACTGTTTAGAATTGGGACTAGCTAGAGGAAACTTGCCCGGAATTAAACCACCTTTATTTGTGTTGAAATTTTGTGTTTGTAATAAACTTTATTTCAAGATTTTACATATGATATTAGGGAGTGTTTAGCTAAAATATGTTTTCAAAACATGTTGTCATGCAAATGTGCTTTTCATTATCATTTGATGTGCCTTTTTTGGGATAAAATTCTGAAACATATCCAGAAATGAGAAATAGGGACAGGGCCCCATAGAACTGTTGTTAATATTTTGCATATTTTTTATGGTTTATCAAGATTTAATTTGCATTTGTTGTCTATATGATAATGAATGGTTATCTGTTTTATAAATATGATTTCATTATCAATTGACTTAATGCTTATTCTCTTCATGAATCTTTTTTTAAATTTTTTATTTGTATGTGGTGCTGAGGATCGAACCCAGTGCATGCCAGGTGAGCATGCTACCGCTTGAGCCACATCCCCAGCCCTCTTCATGAATCATTTTGTTAACCTCTACCTATTCTCTAAATAAACGCCTGCCAGTGCTGATCAGTGATGTGCAAGTGTGGTTTAATTTATTGATAGGTCTATAGCAAATTACTGGAGACTCAGACCATCTTCTTGTCTCCTGACCAGAGCTAAGTTTAAGTTTCAGGAGGTTTGGCTTTCCTTCTCTGCACCTGGACTGAAAACACATGAGAAGTTAAAATATTGCATATTATTACCAAGTTTTTTAGGAATTCTGTATTTCTACTATATCTGAATGAGCATTGCGAGAATTTTGGACCAACCCAAATATGGTAAATGTGCTTCAGAGTTGTGATGTATTTCTCATTTTTGCTTTGTAAATTTAATCTGTAGAGCTCATAAGAGCTTTTTGGCCAAACAAATACTGACAGCACAACCTGAAAAACCTCTAGTGATTATAATGCCGTGCTAAAAAATTTGTGGTGTAATTCAATAAAATTTATTTTTCAGTTCTCTCAGGAGGACCTTTGCCTCAAGGGCATGAATTTGAACTGTATGAAGTTAGATTTCACTGGGGGAGAGAAAACCAGCGTGGTTCCGAGCACACGGTTAATTTCAAGGCTTTTCCCATGGAGGTAAGAACGATGATCATTGTGTAAAAGTCTTGTTGTTCAGAAAAGTATTCAGTGATCGGCTGAGAATGGTTAAGTATAAATGTAGATGCATAGCTCTTGAATTTTGTCAGTTTAAATTAAGAAAAAAAACACTTAACAAGATATAAGCTTGGGGCAGCAATTGAAGCTCCTTACCTGCTTTACTGGGCTTGGAGTGTACAAGTGAGCAGCTAGCCATAACAGTGATCCATGCTAGAATTCTTACTGTTGTAGACATTCTGTGGTCTCGGCAAATTCATGTGGTCACTTTTGTAGCTCTGGGAAGGTAATGAGCTAGAAACACATAACTGTTGGAAGAAACTCAAGAATAATTAAAACTCTAGCTTATTTAAAATTGCTCCCAAAGCTTTTGGGGACAGGGAGATGTAAGGAGAGTGATTCTTTTGTCTAGTCTTCCCTCCCCGACTTAATCTTCTTAGTTGACTCCTGGGCTGTCTTAGTACCCAGTGTCATGTTCCTTCTTCCCTAGGCAGAATTTACCTCCCACTCTTTGTGTACTAGATAGATCATGGTAGGTCAGGGCCATGCACTGATCCCGTGGACTGGCACATGTCATGTCCTCTGTGTCTTTCTTGTTGACTGAGGATTTCTGAGGAGGATCATTTCCCTCTCATTCCCCTGTTGACTCTGTCATTTAGGCCACTGTAGGCATATCATAAATAAGTAGTCCGTGTTGGTAAGGTTGAGAGGATGTCCCTGTTGGTCCAAGCCTTATTGAATTGATGTTTCTTCTTATAAGGAACCTCAGTTTCTCCCAGGAAATTGCCCTTCAGTGGTATGCACAAGTGTGTTTTCCTTTCTTCCCATCTACCTGCCTTCCTTACCTTCCTTACTCCTCTCTTTCCTCCTCCCTCCCTTTTTCCCTCCTCTTTTTCTCTTTCCTGTGTGATCTATTCTATTTCTAAGGCTTTGATTCTCAACTATATCAGCTCCAGATTTTATCTTGATCCAGAGTCCTATAGACAACCATCTAGTGGGTTTTCTGACTTGGGTGCCTAGTAGAGATGATAGATTAAAAACGATATAACCCTTAATAATAATAAAAAAAGAGTATATTGTGGGGGCTGCGGGAATGCCAGTCTTCTGTTATTCCCATCTGTACATATGCTTAATATTAAATATGGAAGTGCTCACGACCAGATAGCAGGTGCAGTATTACCTCCGTGACCGGAAATCACTAATGTACAATTTTGTATAAATGATATGTGTATATTAAAGGATTAGATTGGAGTGTTTCTGAGCATTAGTGTAATGATAATTTTTACAAATCCTTTTGAAGCTTAGGATATCCATTTTATTAAAGAGGCCCAAGTCTTAAAAGTGAAATGTGAGATGTTTTAAGGATGGAGGGGAAGAAAACTGCATTGACATCTGTTGAAGATGAAGACAGAGTGAGGACCCTGAGAGGGGGCAGCTCCTTGGGGGCCTGAGTGCTGAAGGTGTTGATGGTCTTGTAGGGAGCGGCCCTCTTGGTTGCCAAGAAATGTTCTCTCATTTCTGCTGTCTTAAAACAACTCTTGTGTCACCTCTTCCTACTGCCCTGTCCTCAGCCAACCTCAGAAGGAAATGCTTACACCAGAACACATCAGAGGAAAGGGTTCATTTGAACCTCCTGGGTGGTGGAGGGCCAGGGGGCTGGCCAGACAAGCCCTGTCCTCTTCTTTGGGTTTCAAAGGACATTTCATGATTTCGTACCAGTCAGTCCTCAAATAATCCATGAGTTTAGGGAGAGATGGGCATGATGGGGTAGGTAGGAACTTCTGGATGAGGATTCAGTGCCTTTGCTTGTGACACAGTTTCCAGCCTTGAGAAAGTTTAATTAGATTAGGGGAATCAGTGACCTGTGCTCTTGGCTGTGTTGTGAGAGAGAATTTCCGGACCAAATGTTCAGACTGGTCTGGCTACTGGGTGGCATTTTAACTGCTCCAGACCATTAGCACAGGTAATGGATTGTTTTGAGTGAAGATTAAATTCTGGTAGTGAGGCTTTGTGTAGAAATATTTATATTTAGGATAATGGAATTCTGACTGTAATTTTTCCCAAATAGGTAATGAGTAATATTTATATTCTTTGTTATCCCAGATAATCCTTGATATAATCCCAGAATATTTTTTTCAGTCATCTGACATTTGTTTTAGGGTCGTAACTGATTGAATACATAAATGTTGTGAGGGTGCAGAATTAGAGGGAGATTCCTGCAAACCAGCTTTTTTTTTTTTTTTTTTTTTTGAGGCTATGAATACTGAGCTGGGTTTTAAGGCAAATAGAGCTCTCGTGTTGTAATGACAGAGAAGGGGACTCCAGGTGCAAGAACATTCCAGGATTGATAATGAATTAGCAAATACAGAGTTGTTTAGATAGCTGACTGCTGGTCACCTGGTCCTGAACAGCCACCCAGGGTCACCTTAAACACAAGAATGTGGTCAACAGAATGGTGAAGAGTGAGATTTGGACTGGGTATCTTTTTGAACTCATGAGATTTTTCAGTTTTTTTTTTTTTTGAAATACTTTTTAGTTGTTAATGGAACTTTATTTTATTTATTTATATATGGTGCTGAGAATCCAACCCAGTGCCTCACACATGCTAGGCAAGTGCTCTACCACTGAGCCATAACCCCAGCCCAGGTTTTTTTTTTTTTTTTAGTAGAGTGTCCATATTTTATTTACATTTTTTTAAAGAGAGAGAGAAGAGAGAGAGAGAGAGAATTTTTTAATATTTATTTTTCAGTTTTCAGTGGATACAACATCTTTATTTTATTTTTATGTGGTGCTGAGGATCGAACCCAGAGCCCCGCGCATGCCAGGCAAGCGAGTTACCGCTTGAGCCACATCCCCAGCCTTTTTATTTACATTTTAAAACCAACTTTAATGCCAGAACCACATACACATTTGCTTATTTCCCTTTTTGTTGATTTCACTTATAATTGAATGGCTGTTTTGTAAAGCAAATAGTATAAACAAATAATTTATCGTGCCTGTGACCTGTAACATATAGAACAGCTTTTAACAGAAATCTATCAACCTCTTTCCCCTTGACTTTTTAAAATTACTAGCTGAATGTATAATAACAACTCTGAATGCATTTTCCGCTACCTGGAGTCAGCACCAACATTGCTTCAAAAGTTAGCGCAGTTTGTGACTTCTGACCCTTTCAGTGCAGCTCTTCCAAGAACAAGATGGACAAAGCCCACGTGTGTGCTTCACTTTGTAGAGATTTATGGTTTTCAGCAACACACATGCTTCTGCAGCCCTCTGACACTTCTCATTAGGCTCTCATCTTAAACCTGAATTCTGTTATGGATTCCTTAGGTTTATGCCTAACTGACAGTCCCTTAACAAGAGAAAAAACAAAAACATACCATGTTTTCTATCCTGGTACCTGAAAACATGGTGGACATACACATGTTAAATATTTTCTTACAAATGTCTGGGTTGTATTTACCAGCTGGAATTTTTTTTCCTTAATGTGTGTGTATTTTGCCTTTTGCTTGTTGATTTAAGACAAGTTTGAGAGCAACTAAAACTGATTCTTGTCTGTTTTGCTGGCCATGGGTAATTATTTTTTTTGGACATCATTAGATATCTTAGCTTGTGAGGTTCGACTTCAGTATTATGAACTTGGCCATTTCCCCTCACTGGTGTGCTCTGTGCATCTACTTTTCCACTGGAGTTATTTATTCCATTCACATAAATTTTTATTCTACATCTGGACCTTCAGGGTATTCACATCCTGCATTCAGACCGTATTTCTGTACTTTGTGGACACTGTCATTTCTTTGCTGCTTCAAAGTAGCCCAGCTCTGTGGTTTGCATAATTCTTCATAAATGATGACCCGTCTTTTTTTTCAATTAAACTATTTAATATAGAAACATATTGCATTTAGTTTGCATTAACATTATTTTCCTTCACATGTTTATTTCATATATGCATGTGGGAAAATAAAGTTCATCTTTAATAAACAAACCAAAAAAATAAAAACCTCCTCTATTCAAAAAAAATCAGGCTGCAAAACTGATTTGGTTGAGGTGATGTAGTTTGTCAATCATGATGACCATTCTGTATACTTAAAGAGCAACTCTCATAACTTTAGGGGAGAGTGCATTCCACATATTTTGATTTTATAATGGGTCAATACATTTTTTTTAAACTTGGGGAAAGACCAGTGGTATGGCTAGATTTTAATTTTTCTCAGTAAGAATATTGCTCACCCTCTGCTGTTCCCATTATTTGATAAAAGGAGGATCTTTAATAGCCAAATGTAGGAAGGGCATGGTCTCAGAATAAATCATCAACTGGATATTGGATAAGTTAAGCTTTTGAAAAAGTCATGATATTTCTGTTTTGCTCCTTTTACTACAATGCATAATGGTTTATTAGGGACAGCAAAGTAATCCTAGCCACACTAGATCATGTGTGGGAAGTGACTTTCTTGCTCTATGGGCCCAAAAGTCTGGGTTTAAGAGTGACTCACCCAGCAAGAGATTCAGCTCTGTTGCAGGATACTGGCTTATCTTTATTTATATTGTATTGAGAGAGTTGCTATTGCTCTTTGTCCTCTGAAAGCCCTCAGAGATAAACAAGCCACATACCAGCTGTTTGTGGGAGATTGAGTGCATTAGGTAAATAGAAAAAAAAAAAAAGAAGAAGAAGAAGGTCTCCTTGTGCAGAGCAGGGTCTTTTGATTGTGAAGAGTCCAAGCCTTGGTTGCAAATTAGGTAAAAAAAAAGTGATGAAGACCATATTTCATATGAGAGTTCATCATAAACATTCCATTGCCTCTCCCCACTCTGCACTCTCCCCTAAGTGTGCCAGCTTCCCACATGTTCTACATTTCTTTTCTTTTTCTCAGGCAAGTGGGAGTGTCTACCTTAAAAGTGTTCTTTTGGTACAAATGACCTGGTCTTTAGGGTTGCTGCCTCACAGGTCATTTGCATATTCACCAGAAAGAGACACATTTTTT